TCTGCAGCAATTTTTCATTTTCCTTGCAATGACAGGTTGTGATGCCGTTTTTGAATTTTATGGAATAGATAAAATACCCCCACCGCAGCAAACCTGCAGATTAAGTGAGTTTCCATTTGCCTGATTTGATTTTCAATTAAATCTATTTCAATAACCTAAAGTTTAATTAGTGTTAACTAGGTTTGCTGCTACGGGGAGGGTAATAAAATGTGTTATTAATTAAAGTATGAATAGGTTAAAATAAATAAATTGTCCAAGTTTTATCAAAATATAACCATAAACCAGCAAAATATCCAATCATGGTAGTCAAAATGGCTTAGAGAGAAATTCGAAAATTTTACGTTTAGAGGGGCAAACATGACAATACCCAATTTTTATCCCATAAATCCCCCAGAAAACCCTGTTCTCATGGTTTGATCATGCTGGTTCGCAAACTCGTTGGAGTAAACGTAGGTTTACACGTTTTTACCAAATTTCGTCAACCTTAGGTCATTTTTGCTTGAGTTATCGTGCTAACGTTCTTTAAAAAGTGCAGTACACGTCTACAGTCATTAACGCTGATAAAGTTTGATGTTAGGTCATATAGAAAAGTACAAAACATCTTTAGATTGATTTGACTGAGTTCGCAATCCTGCATGATCAGACCATGAGAACGGGGTTTTGGGGGGATTTATGGGGTCAAAATTGGGTTTTGTCATAATTAACCCTCTACACATAACATTTTCCAATTTCTCTCTAAACAATTTTGGATACCATGATGATTTTGAATACCTTAAAAACCCAATAATTTTGTTTATTGAAGTGTTTTTGTACGAATATTGGTTACCTATCGAGAAAATTCAAAAACTGTAAATTTATCATTCTCATTTTATTCTTATAGAGAATAAGTAAACTGTTGTAGTTTGTTCGTTTGAGGATATATTTTGATAAAACTTAGAAAATTTATTTATTTTGACCTTGGCTATTAATATTTTAATAAAAAAAACACACTTTATTATCCTCTCCTAAGCAGCAAACCTAGGTACTAATTAAACTCAATTAAAATATATTTAATTGAAAATCAAATCAAGCAAATGGAAACTCACTTAATCTGCAGGTTTGCTGCAGTGGGAGTATTTTGCCTATTCCAGGAAATACAGAGACGGCATCACGACCTATGATTGCAAGGAAAATTAAAGATTGCTGCAGATTTCTGGAGAGTGTTGATAAAACTAAACACTAAACAATTTTTAATTATTTTAGTGATTATTGGCCGCCATTTTGAAATGATCTAATCAAACTCGACCATTGACAAACTGGGATTGTATATCGTATTCAAGCACTTGTAAGCCAAATTTCATTAAAATCGGTTTAGGCGTTTTGGTATTACAGTATAACCAATTCATAGCGACCCAGCACCCTCTTAAGAGCGCCATATTGATGACGTCATTACGGGCGACCAAGGTCCTTAAACATTGGGGTCCGAGCGGTTTTACGTTCTTGGTCTCATATATTATCTTCACCCTAAGTCGCAGGATCACCGCCAGAACTGAAATATTTTTCTGCTACCCATACTCACTTAGCTTTCAGTGTCAAGTCAAGACGACGATGGAGAAGAACGAGTTAGAGACCCTCACCATTCCGTGGATGGTGATGATGCATCAGTAGCTGATGAACAATATGACACGTGGTGGTTAAAGAGGCGAAACTACCAGTTTCTTGGTTAATTTTCCTCACAACTTTAACATGTGACACAGACTCATGATCAGTTTTGCAATAATTGATATTAACTTGATTATTTTATCTTAATTAATTTGTCATATTTAGTTTTTCATTAAAAAATTAGTCTTTTTCTAATAAACTGTTGGTTGTATTGCTTTTATTTTGTTCTTTTTCGATTCTGCATCCTAAGAAACATAGAAAACGACACCTCACTTGCTTGGATCCCATAAATAAAAATTTTCTCAAAATACTACCCCCATAAACTTTAACCCCCATAAAATGGTACTTCCACCCCCACAATCACTAGGGACTCTTCAGATTTCAAAACCTAATGGTAATTACTACGTTTCCTGCAAGTTTCATGAATGGACTAATTTTTATGTTTTCTTAGGTGAGTTTTACCTGTACTATTAATACTATTGCTATGCAGTGAGTTTTACATCGTGCTCTGGGGCCTATTGCATAAAACTACAAGTACACAAGTTTACATATTAAAAGTTGACAGGTCCCTGTAATTACAATTTAACAATTACAGGTGTTGCTAGAATAATTTGTATACTTGTAAGAACAAGTAAAAAAATTGTAAACAGTTGATTACAATATTACAATAAAATTACACATAGGCCTACGTCATTCGTTTTTTTTTCAAATATTGGATTTTCTAAAGGAGAGCACTCACACTTGGTAAAGTTAATAATAAAATTAGGAAGGGAGCGAGAATCTTCACTTACTATAACGTTATGAAAATAATAGAGTTTTAAGTTTCAGTTTAAGTTCTAAAGTTTTTCGAAGTTAGGTTTTATTGATGTCAAAATGAAAATCCATACTATTCTTTTAGTCCAGTAAAATAAGACATTTTGGTATGCAAAAGGTCGGGTAGTTCTGATTTTTGGATATGTTGTTAGTATTGGGCCCATAACATAAAATCCAAGTTATCCACCTCGAGATACTGCCGCTCGCCGCGGGGCGCGCCACTTGTTATCGAAATATCAAAAATATGGCAATTCTTATTGTTTTTCAATCAATCTCGCGAACCGTTAATTTTACCGAAAATTTTAGATTATTACATTAAAGAAGAATAAATTTGTGACAGTTTAAGCCCAACAGCATGTATGTAGCGTAAATAATGGTCAAAATACAGACCATCAAAATAAATAAATTTTCCAAAGACGTATAAAAATTGTGTTTTTTTCAATATTTCCACAATATAGTTGTTTGAAGCAAACGCCGTATTGATTTAGAGAGTATACCAGTTTATTTGCTATTAATAGAAAATAAATGAAATTGTATCATTAAAGAATTTTGTAGAGCTTAAAAACAAATAATTTATTACATTAAAATGTGTTTTACAGTTATTGGTTACGGAGAAAGTTAAAAAATGTAAATTAAAAACCTGAAGTTATTCCAATAGCAAAGATTTTTAATTATTGTTTTTTCCTTATTTATAGACACATTTTTATAAAATTGGGTAAATTTATTTATTTATTGTCATACTATTATTATTTTATATAATATATTAATCTCCCTGTAGCAGCTAACTTAGGTACCAGTTAAACCTAATGTTATTTAAGGTTTGTGAAAATCAAATCAAGCAAATGGAAATTCGCTTAGTCTGCAGGTTTGCTGAGGTGGGGGTATTTTTATTCATACTTTCATTTATTTTCGATTAATAGCAAATAAACTGGTATACTCTCTAAATCAATACGGTGTTTGCTTCAAACAACTATATTGTGGAAATATTGAAAAAAAAACACAATTCTTATACGTCTTTGAAAAATTTATTTATTTTGATGGTCTGTATTTTGACCATTATTTACGCAACATACGGTTGGGCTTAAACGGTCACAAATTTATTCTTCTTTAATGTAATAATCTAAAGTTTTCGGTAAAATCAACGGTTCGCGAGATTGAGTGAAAAACAATAGGAATTGCCATATTTTTGATATTTCGATAACAAGTGGCGCGCCCCGCAGCAAGCGGCAGTATCTCGAGGTGGATAACTTGGATTTTATGTTATGGGCCCAATACTAACATCATATCCAAAAATCAGAACTACCCGACCTTTTGCACAGCAACCCCATTTTATCTGACAGATTTACTGGACTATTTGTATTCTGCCAATATTCGTAGACTAATACAACCATCTAATCAATTAATAAACAAATTCATACAAAATTGACAAATTAGTTTTATTTCACAATACAGAAAACAAGCTTCAATTTTAATAACGTGGAAACAGTCAAACATTGGAAATTAAACTTAGAGGCAGTGTTCAGACTATTGTCAAAGTCTGAAGTGGTTGATCATTTCCTGCAACCTTACGGTCCCATCTCTGTTAAATTGTTCTTCATTCACATTCTGTTCTTCAACATCATCTTCGACTTCGTTCTCATTGTCAGCCACCTCAATCAAACCTGCACGCCGAGCGTAGTTGAAAACTTAACAATAACAAGCCAACGGTATAAAAGGTGATGGTTTGACTATGCTTGGATTAAAATAAAATAAAATTTATGAATAAAATTATGGCTTAAATAATGAAACTAGGAGAAGAAGCAATGGAGGAAAAACAAGTTGTTAAAGAGCACAACACTATCCCCAATACTCTGCTTTCACCCCCCCCTCACACACAATACAGAAACAAGAAGAAGAACAGGAAGCCATCCTCAGTTGGAGAAGATCCTCTTCAGTGCACTGCAGCATCACTCACTGTCATAATCATGATGCTGAGTTAGAGTATTCCCCTGAGGATGAAGTCTTGGAACAGGACTGTGATATCTGTAGCTGGTTGAACACCGATATCGGTGGAACAACTCCTGGGTCCGAGTAGCCTATCGTGTAGTTAGTTCAAGCTCTTGTCTCAGACTAAGGGCTGGTGTTAATGTGTGTTATTTCCTAGTGTTGCCTGCCCTTGGCTCCGTAATGTATCACTCAAATCCCTGGCTAATACTCGTGAACAAATCTTACTTCGTAAGATGAGTGTGTTCCTGGCCATAAACACAGTGCTGACCGTTTAGTCAGTTTCAACCATTAACATTTAGAAACTATGTAGGCCTACCACATTTATTTGGCTAAGACGTGTTCTAAGTGATCATCCCATCCATATGACCAGCTGTAGCCATTTTTTATTGTGATACAACATAGTTGATTGAGCCACTCACAGATTGGGCTGCTATCAACTATGTTGACCTCCAAGCTCATTCTTTTACCACAATCAAATATCTAGCCTATATCCTTTCATGGTAAATATGTCAGAATATGTTTAGTAATTGTTTGCATTGTTGTTGCAGAGGGGTTGCCTGACCCGCACACTGGGCCATCATGAGATGGAGATGTCCAGGAAGGAGCTGGAAGCTCAAGAGAGGCTTTTGGAAAACAACTTGAGTACGTACTACACCTAGCCTATTTATTAGCCTATTTATTAGCCTATTTAGATTTTTCTGTTTGTTTTGTCAACGCCAATGTAATTTGGTATTTGGTAATCACAAACTATTTTAATCACCACATATTTTAATTGTCAGTGGTGACACCTCCAAACCTCTCAAATTGTTGTGAAGATACAAAAGTATCAAACCCGTTCCTATCACAGCAGAGTCAGAGGCCCTAACCACTATATAGGCTAGCAACACACTCTATCAATTGTTTGTTAGTTTGTAGGTATAAATTCGATAAATTTTATCTTTGTAGTAGGAGCTTTCATTATGTTTATATTTGTGACTTCAAAATTTGCTAACATGAACATTGAGTTACATTTAAGTGTTTATTGTTTTATCCATGTATTCTGGAGGGTGAACATTGAACTAATTTGTGTTTATCATTATGCATACTCAGAAGAAATTTAATATATTTTATCACCATCATTTCCTCCTCAATGGATAATATTCAAACAATATACACTTTTTAAACCCTGAATGCGACAGCAGGGGTAGGTAAATTTATGGATAGTTTTTTTATAATGCATCATAATCATAATTTTTCCTTCATCATTGACAATACTTTACCCAAATGCTGTAAACAAAATCTGAGCACGACATTTGTAAAGTTTGTCAACACTTACCATGAAAGAGTTTTGTAGAGTTTATCCAGATGATGCAAGGTAAACAGTGTTTACTCTGTATACATTTTTAAGTGAACTTGGAACAACCAAATCCTTTCCTCCAAACCTGTTCTATCTACTTATGTTCATAGTAATGACACATTTACTCTGCAGTTTCACACAATAAGAACTGTTTTTGGCACAACAAAAAGCAAAATCATTGTAAAGGCTATTGTTGGCTGGTAACATCATTTAACTTTCAATTTATTTGCAGAGATTTCCCTTTTGGTGGAAATCAACGAAGTTCTCCAACAACGCCAAGAGGTTGTTCAGAGACACAACCTTTTGCTGAAGAATATAAGCGATTTACAAAACCAGGTACAGGACACAACCAAGTGGGTAAGCAGACATAAAAAATGGAAAATAGTCATTCCGCAATCCTGCACCAATGCAATCCTGATTGCTTCTCATGGTTCCTTCTTAATTGATACTACAGTAAAGTCTTGGTTATCTGACCTGGACCTGCTGAGTCAATATGATCAGATACCAAAAAATTATAAAAAGAAACCCCATAAAATTTAACATAAACCTTTGAAATTAAAGATCATTTAAATTAATAAAGGTTTATATGTGGACCCTCAACTCTTGTTTGGAGCTAAGAAATTACATAAAAATTACCAAAAATGTACTAAAGTAAATGATGGGATCCTAGTATTTTTAGCCAATGGTTCACTCAGAGACATTCACTCTGAGACCAAGTGTGTAGAGGAGAAGAAGTATGGATACAGGTATGAGGAGTTTTTGATGCATTGCGCTAAAACAATAAGAGGTTGTACAGCCATGTGAATGAAGGTGTCTAAAACACCATGAAAAAATGCCAAGAGCACTTTTTTATTATACCAATTTTATTTATATAGAATTTTTAATACCCTATCAAATGATACCAAGTTCAAAAAGATCGAATAAGAAATAGCTGAAATATTACGATTTTTAGTTGTAACATGGGGTAGAATAAGGCAGAAGCTAGTCGGTTTGCCCCATTTTACATCTAAAAATCGTAATATTTCTGCCATTTCTTATTCAATCTTTTTGAACTTGAAGTTGTGTGAAAGGGAATTAAAACTGCTAAATAAAAGTCTTCTTGACATTTTTTCCTAAAACTTGCCGTTTTTGAGTAATTTAAGTTTAAAAAATTAAAATGGCCGTCATTTTGAAATTGTATGTTGGATCAAGATGAACTTTTTTTCTAACATGGGTCCCTTTTACCTTAACCTACACATACCAAGTTTTATGAAGATCAGTTGAAAAAATCCAAAAATACAAATGTTTATGTAAAACATACAAAATGGCCGATATCTCGTTAACAAATTTATTTTAGAAAAACATGTTATTCTTGATTTTCTCTTTATTTTGACCCATAGAACCGTTTTCCAGAGTTTGGCTGTTTACTTACGGGACACCCTGTGTATAAGTATCAATAAAAATATTTCAAACTTGTATGGAACAGAGTCCTGGCTTTTAGACAACCTAATAACAGGTTCTTATTACAGTATAGACTCCCTCTCATCCGGACACCTTTTAACCGGACATCAATTTAACCAGACTACACTCGCCAGAAATGAAATCTCTTAAACCGGACAATTTTTATCAGCACATTGGTTTAACCGGACTAGATCTGAAGGAAGTGGGCGGTACTGAAACGACTGTTCTTGTGGGAAAGATTTGAAACCAGTGTTCACGTGTCTAAATACAATGCTCTCCTAAATTTAAGTCAAATACTGATACAGATACATACTGTATACAGTATTTATACAGTATGCATCTAAACGGTCTGTTTAAACGAGTTTTTGGGGACGTCGGTTTAACCGGAAAAACCGTTATCTGGTCTGGCCTCGGGTCCCGAGGAGTCCAGATAAGAGGGGGTCTACTTTAGTGTCTTTTTCTTTAAAACCTGTCAGAGTAGGGCCCAAATATCTTTCATGTTGGGACAAGATCCTTACTGTATGACCCCCTTGCACACATCCAACTTGATCCTAAGCTGCCATGCTGAATCCATGCACTTATTCCATTTCCATACACTAAAAACTTTCCTATAAACCTCGTGCTTCTGCTTTGGTAAGACAGTACTTACTACCTTATTTATGTATACTGAAAATTGCCATCTGTACAGAGAACTACACATTTTTATTAATTTAATTAGTTACATAACATCATTACAGTGCATGACATAAAATTGGATGTAATAAAGTGCATAGCATTACTTAATATTCAACCATTCAACCTATTTTTATGCATACAGATATCCAAATACTATTTTTTTCTTCCTTCAGAAGTTTTTTTGGTCAGTATATCACGCATATTTCATATAAATGAAGAACTGTCTTCATCACATGTAGCATTGACAATAGTCAATGTTCCATTGCCATAACCAGGACAACTTATTTTTCCCAACACACTGAGTTTTCAAAAAATCAGAGTGCTATTGAAGAAATCCCATTTATTTAAGTTCATCTGTAATATTGATGAATGTATAACTTCCTAGAGTAGGCTTGGGTCTGTGTACAAAGAAGAGTTCATAAGCAGTCAACAAGCGCAAGAGTATGAATACAAACCACTTTTCAGCTGTGTTTGGATGAGGCCAGTAGAGGAGTAGGTTACTTTCCTCCAGTAGCTTGAAATACTCTAGATGCAAGTAACTTGCCCCGTTACCTGCTTGCTCTACTGGACTCCTGTAAACCCGGCTTATATATTAAACAAACAATTTTATGCTTAATGGTTGCGCAGATCCTACTACGTAGCTTATAGCATGGGAGACCAAAAGAGACCTTGGCACAAGTGGTGTGGTAATAACATCGAGTAGAACTTGGAGAGTTAGTACACATTTTAGATTTACCTGTAAAAGGTTATTCTTGCTAAACATTAAATGTGGTGGTGGCCCTCAAATCATTAATGCCTCCATTAGTTATCCTTGCAAACAAACAAACTGGATGCAGCATGCAGATCATGGGGAATACCTGTAACTTTTTGAATGAGGTTGTCATGATAAGCCTTGCATTTGCCAGTTCACATGAGCTTCATGTCTGTAGTGGAAAGTATCAACCAAAGCAAGGGTGGGCTGGTACAGTAGAGAATAAACTGTATTGTTAAATACTAGTGGTAATACCGATACATAAACTAATGACATCGTAGTGTGGCGCAAAACCGACTGAGCCATCGACTCACATCTTAGCCTTCATGATGAGGTGGTGAAGCATCATGTTTTACTAACATATATAAGATTTTTTGTCATCTAATGTAGTAGACTTAGGTTAATTGATGGAATAGACTTAATTGTGTTACTGCTGAATGTTTGTGTGTATATGTGTAGATAGAGAGTCTTTGGGACGCAAAAGTGTCTGAGGCCAAGCAGCAGGGAGCTAAGCTAGAGGCAGATGTCTCAGCATTGAGGTTGCAGATCACAGCTCTACAGAAGGCTTCTGGAGGATCCCAACCTGTCAAGTTGTCTGACCTCTCGCCTCAGGATGGCCCTAAGAGTGCTGGCAAGGAGCTTCCTTCTAGAAAAGTGAGAATTAAAAGTAGAGATGTCACTTTACTGACCAGAGAAATATCTTGTAGAGATGATGTAAGAACAATGAGACTCTACGAATAGTAGAAACAGTCTACTTTCTAACCCTACAAAAAAGCTCTCATGATACTACAATTAGTATAATTGGCTACTATCAGTACACTGACTCTGGAGAATTGTAAGTACTTAAACAACATTCCACATCTTCATGATTACCAATTTTTACATTTCCAAATTTATTTTTAGCTTCAAGGAAAGTTTTATGAAATGACTAGAGTTTAATAAAACAGTATGACACTAGAAATAATTCCAATCCTGATTTTCTGGGTGCAGGCTGTCAAAGTCATTAAACTGTCTCCCACTGACCACTGACCAGTTTGAGATAAGGAAAAGGTAAGAGAGCTCAAAAATTAGTAAAATGCAATTAAATATGTCAAAAATCGTGAAATTAATAAGTTTTTGTTGTTGTTTAAACCTACTCATGGCTTAAAGTTTGGATTCTAATTAAAACTACTAACTTCTCTCTGTTTTGAAGCTATCATCACAATTACATAAAAAAATAACGAACAATGTAAACTCCACTGTTGTAACAGTACACTGCAAGATAAACTGTGCATCCGTCCATCACTCAGCCACAAGATATTTGCATTGTACCTAAGATATTTGGGGTGAAATCAGTGAGTATGTAGGTAAGATAAAAGGAGTTTTGTTCAACTGTGTGGTATTCAGCAAGCTAAAATAATAAAAGTACAGTCAAGTTCAGGAGCTTAAAGCCTAAAGTACAGTCAGGGGTGGCAAGAGGGGGTCTCTCAATGCACCCACTTACTGTGTAAAGTCATACCACACGTCACTTGCAAGCGATTTCATGGTACATACTTAATTGATTGTCCACAGCAGTGGGATAACACAGAAAGTTAGATGACCAAAGATCAGATGATCAAGACGCTGCCTTTCCAGGCCTGGAGTTTACTTAAACATAACCCGTGTTTCAGGCCAACTACAAGATAACAGCCACTCGATTACAGAGTGACATCAAATCATTACGTCACAGGATCAATGGCACCAAACTGAGATTGCTCAATGAAATCAAGGTACCATAACTTGAAACCAAATTAAGGGATTGGATAGCCAAATATTTAAGTTGGTTAACAGCATAAAAACTCTGTCAGATTTTTGTTGATTCTTTCCGTGGGATGGTAAAATCTGTGATTTACTATGATACGATCTACGCATTGTAAATATACTTTCACTGTACTTTGGGTTTCTTTACTATAATGAATATAAAACAATAGAGCGTTTATAGACACTCAATATTATAGACTTTATAGTATTACATTGGACTTGTTTCAGACTGCTTTTCCATGTAAAATGCCAGTTGTATTGCAAATATGTTCCACAAGAATTTTTGCTGTCACATCTTTAATACTTGGTTATCTAAATAGTTTTGTGTACCTTAATATCAGCATGAGTTGATAGCAGGCATAGTTTGTTAATCCTCTTGAGTTTACAATATCAGTCAATGTCTAAACATTATAGACCACAGGTATTGTAGCAAAAGTAGGTATTTGTAGTACAAGTAGTCATTATTTTACATTTTTAAGATCAGAATCATATATAAGCAGATATTTTGCTATGTGTTTTCTTTTATTAGAACTAAAGTTCTAGACAGCATTTTTCTTCAGTGTCAAATAAGTGTAAAACAAACCACACTAAAAACATACACACTAGGGTAGATTGTGAAAGAGTGTTGCTCGCTAAAGATTTTAAACTAAGGTATTTTCTATTGTATGAGGATTTTCTCTAAATTAAGGTCTCCATCTAGCTCCATTTGCGGTTCAGCGAGTCAACTCAAATCTGAGATCAGTGCCGTGTTTTTAACTTCGTCATTTGGTACAATTGATCTAAACAATCTCCACACTTATGTGACAATTAGTTTCCTCGTGGTAGCTAAAAACTATGTGAACGAAGATCTTTGTTGCAGCCAAGTATATGAATTGTACTCCCTGATAATACTTCCGTAATCTAAGGTTTCAACCGCTTCTGAAGTCCACCGGCAGTTGAAGGACGTGATTGGAGTAAAGTGTTCATACATAGAACATGGTAAAAGAGGTGGAAGGAGTCTGGTGGTACAGTAAACATTTATACAAGGTTCACAATGTTTTTCATGGTGTATATTAGTCTTGATTCAGCCTGTAGCCAAAACTAGAGGGATTATGCATTTTGATCTTAATGTGATTGAACCAGAGACTCCTGAACTGATAGGGGATCTGTATTGTATTATAATAATAATACTATCAACAACTGTATATGGTAGTTGTAAACAAGAATATCAGCAATTGAAGATTCCTCAACTTAAATTACTTTCCTAATATAAACTGAAACGCCCCCTGCTGGCCTTTTTGTAAAAACAAGTGCGACCTTTAATAAATTACACAAAACCTTCATGCAAAATTTCCTACGTGAACAAATTTACTGTCTCAACAGGAGTAGACCCCCTTTCTATCGATTATCAATTTTATCATTGAAAATTTGATATGGGAACGCCACCTACTGTGTATTTTTAACCCAAAAAGTATGAGTGAAGGATGAGTGTAGAATGGAGTGATATGATCAGTTGTTCCAGTAGCTAGGATCATTTATTTAAAGAATGATCCTATAGGAACCTTATTACGGAAGACGATTTAAACTTGACAAGAGCATTTTTTTTTAAAGAGGTTGGTGGCCTTTTTTTACCTTTTTACTAGCACATCCACATAGGTTACAGATCTGTGAGTGGAATATGTCCAGAAAAAGCAAGGAATGAGCAGGTTAACTTTACTGATAAAAAAGAGTGACAGGTACGACATCGCTGCCTTGGGCCCGAAGTCCGCGGCGCTACCGACTGAGCCACCCACTCACCAATTGGTCAACTATCTTGCACACAACTAATCTGCAACTAATCTTGCAGATCTGATTGGCTGCAGATTTTTGTTTACATCATTTTCAGCTTCTATGACAAGATGAATCATTGTAGTTGGAACCGGCTAAAATTGTAGTAGAAGAACTAGAAGAAGTAAAGAATACAGGGGTTGTCTGAGATTTGAGCTAGTTTACTTCACCAAGTGATGAGCTCGATGGAGACCTTAGTTATAAAACAACCCTCGTAACAATGTTTTGGTTATAACTTCAGGTTATTTTCAACAAGTTTATCTGCTTGATGTAAGTTTAGGTACTGGAAATGATTGGAAATGGAGGACTTTAAATGTGGATTATTGGGTTTGATTCCCTATATTATTTTACCATTGGCTTTGTTATAAGTTACTTTGTCATAGTCGGTGTTTTGACAGTCCATTTTTCTTAGAAACAACAAAGAACAGGTTTCTTGGATAAAAAGCAACTGAATTGGAGGTCTTCGCCAACTACGTTTATAAAAACAAACCGACTAAAATTATTCTATATATCATCCACCGACTATATACAATTTTATATAGAATGATGACTGCTCTGAATTTTTATTCTTTCCTCCTCATTCGTAGACCAAAGAGACCAGGTTGACCTATAAACCAAAATATGAGAATTGGCTGAGTTAAGGTCTCCAACAATCCCCCATCACGAACAAGCAAACTAGTTAAAATCTCACACCAGAGAGCCATTTTAGTTTAGGTACTTCATCCACTTGACCTAGTTGTGAACATGTCTGCATGGCCCTCTGTGAACTCCCCAAGCCATTTATGCTCTTTTTTTGTAGTACCTATAATAAATTTTCTGGATGCACACATTCATCAACTGGCAAAATATTTCAATAGGAGTTTACCCCCTTCCAGAAACTCAATCAAAGAACACAATTTGTATTTGGTGGGAGCATCAATTTTCCTTCACGTCGTTTTCAGTGACAAGACTAATTTTCAGAATTTATGTGGTATTCCCAGATTTAAGAACAAATAATTAATTAAGTTGTTTACCTTTTGATTACCAGGTTCTTGATGAATTAAGAAGTTTACGCTCTATGTACATTTCGCCACCAGTGTGGCATCATCAGGAGCTGTTTCTTGTTTCTTCTCACATCACTTAGTCACTAAAAAACGCAATCGAACGCAATGAATCGTCCGTGAATGTAAATAAGTGTGTGCGTTTTTTAGTGACTAAGTGATAAATCAGAAACAGCTCCTGATGATGCCACACTGGTGGCGAAATGTACATAGAGCGTAAACTTCTTAATTCATCAAGAACCTGGTAATCAAAAGGTAAACAACATAACTAATTTTCACGTACTGGCTGGACTAGAAGTGGATGGTGTTAGAAGATTTTCACGTTGGTGTTTGATTTAAACTAGCTTACTTTGTCTCAACAAGAGATCGTTACCTTAATCACATTTGTTCATTTTTTATATATAAACAAATTTTGAAAATAATATTGATATAATGTCATTTGCCAATAAAAGCTGCTGAGGTTATATATTATTGTATAGTAGGCATGATTAACACAACTTTTTAAATGTTGCCGATTTAAAAGCATTACCAGTATTTTAAACAATAACAATTTATCCATTTAATGGTTTTAAAACTATGAAATTCTTAGGATAAAATGTAAATATGATAATATTAAACATTATAATGTTTCACATGAAACCATACTGGTTAGTAAAACATGAGACTTTTGATATCAAACCTCGTGGGTAACTGGATTACCGTGTTCTAGGTACAGTCTCTACGTCTAGAAGTGTGTTCTCTTCAAAACGAAGCTTGGATCTCTCGACCCTACCATGCTGTTAGTAATTTTCAGTTTTGACTAAAGTAATTCTCTCAAAATACCACAATTAACATTCTTATTTCAGAGACCTTTGTTTAATGTAATGTTCTGCCTACACTCCAAAAGCATGTCACCAATCCAATAAAACCACACTAAAATCTTATCATATTTTAAGACATAAAAATGTAAATACGATAAATTAAAAAAATTAATCTCATTACTGAATGAGCTGAGCACCTTCACAAATTTAATCAAAAAGTTCACAGCTATCTCCGTTTTTGTTCACACTATACCACATTTAAATTCTCTTACACAACTATATTTACAGCTGAAGAGATCTGAGTGCAAGTGTTTAATTCAAACGTGTCAGTAGAGTATGTGAAAATCCTAGCAAATACTTGAGACTAATAACAACACTAACTTCAAACAAACAATAAAGAGTCATTAGAATAGCCAGTACAATTTTCGAGGGGGGAGTCAAACTGGGAGGTGTGGCCCATGCAGATTTCTTCCCACAAGTAGCTTTCCCTTTCCAGACTAAGTTTTAAATTTTAATGTTTGCTTCGCATTTTTCTAAATTATTTTTAATCAATCACATAGTATTCCCAATTAAATTAAACATTTTACTGCTGTAAAACTATGCTGGCAAATCTTTAAACACTAAAGTGCAAAATAATACTCTTCATTTGGGTCAACACCATTCTGTTTCTTTAAATTGTTTTTTGACATTTCTATAACCTCTACTCTAATGACATGACTCCAGCTGAGTGATAAATTCTAGCTAATCAAATACTAAACCAGATTTTTCTGAGAAGGACTCTACTAAAAAATCAGAAAAAAATATTTCAGCAAGAAGCAAAAGCTCAGAACAACTGGGTGTGCTTAGGGTTACTGGTTCAATCTTATTTCCAAGCACCAAGACAGGACCCTGCTGTTCTGTACCATTTTGTGTTTAAAATAATTCTGGACCAAGAATTGTTTTAAAGTTTTCTTAATCTTTTACAAAGCTTCATATATATCTCTACTATCCCACTTGTATGAATTTCATTCAGTCGGAGCTTAAAATAATCCTTTCAACTATTTCAGTAAAGTGATACACTATGAAATACCATTGGCTTTTAGATATTGAAGTTGACACTTCAATCTCTATGGATAAACTGTAACCAACTTTCTACTCATAATGAACATATAGTTCAATTTTTTTAAATTTCATTCATAGTTGATGCTATCAAAGTTAAAATACATCCCTTAGTTTTTGACAATATAATATGTTAAATTACATAAAAGATGCTATAGTTTACAATACGTTCTCCTTCAAATGTGGCTCGGTTAAAAGTATATATTTATTTTTTCTTCTTCCGCAGCTCTTCAGGCCTTGATGGACTTTGGCTTGCGCTACAACTCAACTCTAAATCAATATATACCTCCAGTTGTGTACTTTTAAAGACCTCATATCATCCTATACTTTGTGAATGGATCTACCTTCTTCTTGGCCTGCCTCTTCTTCTTCTGGTCCCTTCAATGTTCTGCTACAACAATCCTACCGGCTGTCTACCTCAGGGAATTCTCTCCACATCATGAACAATAACCAACTAATCCTTCTTGCTTTGATGAAGCATACAATATCCTTCCCTTGCACTTTTTCATCCACTTCCACATTCCTCAGAGCTAGGTATTTTTTCATCACTGCTCCCTGTAAGGCCAAGCTGGAGTCGAAGGTTAAAGTTTATCTATTCAACAAAAGTCTGTAATTTACATCAGACCTCTTTGTCGGTGCCTCAAGTCTACTATGTCCATTTATATCCTAAAACTGGCTATAGCTTCCACATGGGAATGTAATATCTATTTCTGTCAAAATACAAAGGTAATATCCAACTGAGTACATAGATAACCAAAAATTAATTTGTTGCAGAACAAGCAGCAGGCAGAGGCCGAAGTGAGGCAGTTGAGAAGCAACATATCTTCGAGTAAACACAACAGCAAAGCAACAACTCCTCTGCCAGGGTACAGTGACAGTCCATGCCCAGAGCCTCCCATCCTCTAGTAAATACCTGCCTGCTCGACAAGTGTAGTTGTAGCGAATTTGAATGAGTGGAAAATGTAAGACGAGTGAAAGGTCAAATTACTAATTACGACTTAGTATTTAAAGCTGTTACAACAACACTGGGAGTTGAAATAGTTACTTGGTCCCTGATAGTTACCTATATCACTCTCATTGACTGGTTTCAAAGATAGACTGTTTCACTGACACTATTTTAAAGTTACTTTTCACACAATGCTTTTACGTTTTTGGCAGATGTCAGCAAAGTGTTTAAGACATTACACTTGTATGATTCAGCGTACTCAAACCCAGAGTAAAAAAGGCTTTCAGTGGCTCTCACTTTAACTTAGTTTCAAATTGTTTTTTAGAAAGTTGTCAAGAGCTCAAATTTTGACCACTTTAGCACCCAGAAATTAGAGACTGTCCCTTTTATTCCTCTGATCAATCAATGGACATGATGAACATACAAGCAGTGGAGGCTGCTCAATCGAATTGGTTTTGCACTCATCTCAGTGGGTATAACTAGTTCAAGTTGAAATTATGAGTGACTGACGGCTCGCCATGTAACTGTGGTGCAGAGTTTTTGGATGTTCTGACCTCTCATGTCAGATGGTTAGATTATGACTGACTTTTTATTGTCGATGAGTTCTCTTCTAAGTCTGGTCTGGGGAGTTTATGGTGCTTAATTGTGGATATTTATAGGCTTGCACTGTGGATGTGATACTCCCTGGTGTGGATTAACGTCCGCACTAGTGAGTAGCCTACTATGACTGATCCGCAGTACTATTCTGATAATTAGAACAATTTGTTAATTACAAGAAAAAAATGTGGTTCCGATTCCACTATGAACTGTAGGTCCTTCAGTTGCAATTGTCTGTATGGGCTAACAGCAGTGTCTAAAGAAAAATGTCGGCCTCAGTCACTAACAAGACTACAAGATCTCATACTACAGTCATCTCCATTCATACTTGGCTTAAAATACCTACATTAGTATGGTCACCACACCATTTCTGATTAAAGTATTAAAGAGTTATTTCTAAGTACCTACACATAAAAAAAACTAACAATAAGAACCTTGACTGCCTTTATTTCATTACTTGATGAATCTGTATCATTAAATGTCAAAATATAATATGTGTTCCTACTTACACATATAGAGAAATACATGTATGAATCATTTACATGTACAGTACATAAATAAAATAATCGAACAAAATTTGTGTATCTTCTGCTGCTTCATACATCTAGTGGCCATAGGAGAATTTTTAACCTCTCCCACAGTTTGCATTCAATAAAATCAGATGTAAAAACCTCTCAATCAGACCTGGTGGTTTATTTCATGGAAACTTTTAATATGTAAGAAACAATGTTGTTTATAATGTTAATCATGTACTTTTTCAGGCCTGTCCTCTGCTATTTTGGCGATTCTGCAAAGATACGACCTACCATCACAGCTGGTCGTAGACTGGTCCAGTAACTTCCGTCTTCGTTCCTCTTAGTCTTAGGAATTTTAGAGTGTAGAAAATTCTTTTAGTAAAATAAACAAACACTCATAACATTACATATCGGACCATACACTGATTCATTGTAAATAACTTTGTAGCAAAACACTGTGATATTTTAAGCTCAATTTTGCAATAACCAAGAGAGTCTCTTATTCTTCAGAAAATATTAATTTTGAAACTATAGTAATCAGTTTGCACTTTTATATTACACTTTAGTAGAAAGCTATTTTTTTATTTAAAGCATTGTCATAGTAAGGTTTTGTCAAATGAAAACTTGTTGTTCCTATTTTTTTGGCTCTTGCATGCATGTTAAAGTAAATCGAGAGAAAATCAATAAGATCTTCATTGTTTCAGTATTTAAGAACAAAATGTTGAGTTCCATATTCAACAAAAGGAAACAGTACTTTTGGACTACAAATTGTTTTTAGTTTAATATTCCAAAAGTATTGTGATCACTTAATATTTAATATGAAATTTACCTTATCTGTATTTTATATTTATACAATACAGTAGAGTCTCATTTATGCAACCTTCCAGGTTATACAACCGTTTCTGTGAAATCAAGTACTAAAATAACATACTAAGTTAACTAGTACTATTACATATTAATAGTACTAACTATTAACTTTCCTCACTGCATACAAGGAGCAGTTCATCAGCCCCATAGCTGCTTACATCTCTGATGCCCTTCGCATCTTAGTCGGGGTGCATTGGAGACCGATGGACGAGTTTCTTTTCATCTAATTTTTTACATTTGCAGTAAAGATAATTTTACTTTTTTTACTTTTGGTTATTTTTTGCATTATTTGTTATGGTGGATTCCAAACAGAAAGTTAGTGGTGTCAATGAAAGACAAATTTAAAACCTTGAATAAGTTTGAAAATAGATGAAGAATTAGTTAAATGTTATGTGGCGCGTTTACAATGATTCTATACACCTATCTGTGTTATCCAACCCTTTTGTTTATCCGATCTTATCATGCCTCGTTAAGTACTCTACTGTATTCCACTCTTCTACATTCTTACTTAGTGTTGAGTACATGGTGGCCAAGCTTTGCTTACATACATTTAATATGACACACCTTTGTACCCAAGTACCAAGAACCAAGATCTTTTCTCCTACCTTTAGACTTAGAAAAACACTTTTTAGATAAATAATTGGCCAGCTTATATCAGCTAATATTGCTAGTTTTGTTTTTATTTTATATCCTAATGGGCAATGTCAAAAATTGTCTTATAAATTTTATAAATATATTAGATATTACTTATTTTTAGCATAGGGTAAGTTTTCCTGGTTTTATAGAAAAATTATATTTGATTTATCCATAAATCCTACTTACTACCAGCATATAAAAGAAATCATACTTAATTCCAACATATGAAAGAAGGTTAGTTTTTCTTTCAAGACAAATTTTCATACTCGCAAGGACAGTACTTAGATTGTATAGTAAAGGCTATGTTTGAGCTATACATAATTTGTCCTCACAAGCACAAATTTTTGATTGAGTACATTTACATTATAAAAACTAGTTAATGCAAATAACATGTTTCTATGACTTGGAGATAAACTATCTTAGTATGCTTTATACAAAGGGATGGTAATTATCTCTTTAAAAAATCTATTATATGTATACCTTTAAAGTTGTATGGTAAATTTTGGTGTTTTTCTTTGAAAAAATCTTGCACTAGACAAGTTGATTTAGAGACTTTAATTTTTAATAATAGCCACACTAACCTAAATCATCTCCTACCCTAAAGGGGATATGTTCTTTTACTGATTACTTTAAAATTATGTTTATACATCAACACATTAACAATAAATTGATACTACGAAATGACTTTCAAATCCTTGGCTTTGAGTTCAGATACCTTATTGTATTATGTTATCATTGCTCAGTCATTTTTAAGTTATCCCTGGTGTATCCTGGACTGGACATATCTTTACCAAAACCACCCAAACAACCTCAATCAAACCACATCTTGGATTCAATCTGCATATAAAAGTTGAAGCATGGTGTTAAGTAGCCTTTATCCCTTTTCCGGTTTGTCCCTCATCAAAGAGTTTCACTGTCAGCTATGTACTAGGCATTTTACTTTGGAACAAAATGTATAGATAATGATCCAATGTATTATACAATAATTCTAATACAACATTCAAATATACACAGTAAATTTTCATACATTTGAGTGGTTTTTGTGAATTGTATGCCCCTATTTAAACTCAAAATGCTGATAGAGATAATCACACTTCTAAATTTTTTTTGCATTGTCAAAAAGATTTATCATGCTGTATGGAACTATACAAGCCCTGGATGGATGGTTGTAGTTTGAAAGTTCTATATTCTAAGGCAAGGATTAGATTAGATTATTCTACATTTTTTTCTCTTTAGAACCCACTGTACTTCCAAAACTTAATTTGCTATTAGAGAGAATCATATATAACCTAATGTAAGGTACTTGAATGATGTAAGTTAATTTGTGTCTTTTTTGCGTCATTTCCAATTTCAATTTATCCTTTGCAATGGCGTTTGAGAGATTATTGTGGAGATATTACATCAAATTAGTAAAAAAACAACAAACATCCATTGTAATGTTTGTTCTGACCCTCATACTATAGGGGCATTGCTTAAATAAAGACAATTAAACATTTCTTATCAAACTATTGGAGTGACATAGTATTTACTATAGTATTAAAATCCGAATTGTAAACTCACTCATCATAATAGAACGTTCTTTAAGTAAAAAACAAACTTTATAGAGGTAAGTGAATGACATTGTAAATAATTATTCTTGAAACTACAACATTTTAGTATCAATACTCATATTGTGTAAAATATAACCATATAAAATAGAACTAATTATCAAACAAAATCAAAATATTTATTTCAATGATATATCCTTTTATTAAAGCATTCTTTATTTACTAAACCTTTAAAATATGAAGTGTGTTCTTCAGCATAATATTGCTTATTATTTATCACCTGCATAGGCAAGAAAACATTGAGATTTTAAAATAAAATATTCATTTTTACAGAATGAATCCATTCTCTTTTAATTTTAATTTTTTTAATTTTTTTTGTTATTTTAAGTCATTAACACAGTCAATCTTCTTTTATACAGGGTGTTTCGAAACTCTGTCTCGAAAATCCATGGGCATGTTCTTTAGGTCAAAATGGACAAAAAATGTTATATATGTCATGTCTACCTCGCTCTATTTCCGTATGTGATTCAGCAGTCTGTGATTTTTAATTAAAACTCTATAACTTTTAAACAGCTCAAGGTAAATTATTGAAACTTGGTAAGTAAACTATAATTATAATGATCTAAACTATCACTAATTTTCAAATTTACATTTTATGTTCCTTCAAAATGGCGGTGTTTTAAAAGTTAAAAATATATCAATATCTAAACAAGTTGATATAATGACAAAAAATATCTTTAAATGCAAATTGTATAAACATTTAGTTAGAAACTCAAGGACACCTTATTTAATCAAATCAGATGAAAAAAAGCAAGCGATTTTAGTAAAACATGTCCTGGCATATTCCGTGACTTGTCGAGAGGCTGGCATAATGTTGGCATAATGGCATAATGGCATAACTATGAGAAGATGGTTAATAATATAATATCTCCATTTATATTATTTGGTTCGTCTTCTAGTACCTTTTTCACAACTTTCTTTGAACTATTTACAAAATCGTGTGATCGTTGTCAATGTTTTAGGTAAGTAAACAGCAGCTAAACATGTGACCCATTGATGTGGCAAGGAATGGAACATGCCAAGACATTATGTACTAAAATCGCTGTAACTTGCTTGTTTTTCATATAATTTTAATGAATAAGATGACGTTGAGTTTTTAATTAAATCGTTGATAAAATTTGTATTGAAAATATTTTTTTCGTTACATCAACTTTTATTAGATATTAGTAAATTTACCCTTGAAAATGCAGAATTTTTTTAATACCACCTACTTATATACAGCCTAATTCAGTTTTAAACATCTTTGTACAACTAAATCTAGAGTTCTAGAGGACCAATTTTATTAATTAATAAAAAAAGCTATTTTTTGTTTGTTGGAAAGCTTAATTAGTTTAGATTTGCAAATAACTATGAAAGTTTGTTTTTGTTATAATTTATGGTGACGAATAAAAAAAAACATGTTTTCCATAAGAAATACATTGAAAAAGGGGGTTTCCTCATTTTTATTTCAATGCAACTTTCGTCTTCCTTTTTGAGTATTTTCAAGAAATGCATGGTATACAATTAAATTTTACTCTCTTTCAGAACTTTGGCCGACTTCCTCACAAAAAAAGTTATTTGGAAAAAAGCTAAGCTACTTCCAAATTTATAAAATACTGAGATAGTGATATTTTTGTTAAACTTTGTACAACTAAATCTAGACTTTCACTTGAAAGATTTTGTTGATTAATGGGTCATTGGAAAACCCAATTCATGTAGATTTCCAAATAATTATGAAAGTGTGATTTTATTTAATATTTGGGGTGAAAAAATAAAATACATTAAAAACTGCTTTTTTAAAGTATCTGTTTTTAAGTTTCTATTTGTAGCCAGCTTTTCGCTGCCTTTATTAAGTATTTTTAAGAAATGCATTGCAGTTATTTGTAGTAAATTTTATAATTTTTCAGAATATCACATCCACTTTGGTAGATTTTCCATACATTTAAAAGTTATTGGTAACAAGCTAAGTGACCTCTTAATTAATATAGTAGTGAGAAAATACTGAATTAGATATATTTTTGTTAAAATTTGTACAACTAAATCTAGACTTCTACCAGACCGATTTTGTTAATTAATGGGTCGTTGGAAAGCCTAATTAATTATTGTAGATTTGCAAATAATTATGAAAGTTTGATTTCATTACATATTTGAGGTGAACAAAATACAAGAATACATTTAAAACGGGGTTTTCCAAGTTTATATTTGTAGCCAACTTTAGGCTGCCTTTATTGAGTATTTTCAAGAAATACACAATAGTAAT